CAATCTGCCCCTGCAACTCTCGAAGCACTGGCCGTCGCATCCGCTGCCAAATCCTGTAGGGCCCAGCGTAGAGCACCGCCAACCGATTGCCAGAACCAGACGTCTTGGGTAGCATCGGCGCGATCAACCAGCACAGCTGCCTCGGCGGTAGCCCCAAAGACTCCATCGCCTTGAACACCAGGGCGACCACCTCGAGGGCCTGACCCTCCAAGAGAAGGAGGCGACGGGGATTAAAATGATCAGGCGCTGCCGTGGTGTCGTGCGAGAACGATCGCGCAACTGCACCTATCTCGCCAGGATTCACCTTCGGCAACGCCGTTCGGTCAGGAATCCATGCTGGCACTGGACGGGAAGTGGACCACAACCTCTTGTACGTCTCCACTTCGTGCCGAACAACATCGTGCACATGAGCCGACGCACCATGGGCCGTTGGGACAACCGTGGGCTGAGCAACGTCACGGTACTTCGTAGTGCGGTGGAGGAGGCGTGAGCCATTGGAAACGGCCATGGCGCACCACTCCTTCCACTTCTGGCGGTCCTCCTGGGTAGCTCCGTTGATCGCGAGCTTGACGTCGGGCTCAATGTCTCCTAGGAGCTCGCGGCATGCCTCCTCCTCAAAGCCAGCCTGCACCACGCCGCGCGCCTGCTGAACAGATCGATCGAGGCGCGCGGCAAGGCCCTGCCCATGGTAGTTGGCCGTCGCGAAGTTGAAGATCTCCTCAGCAGCCAACGACAGGTCCGGCACGGCCGGGTTGGCCACCGTCTTGCACTGCATGATGCTGAGGAGGGAAGACTTCAACCATTGCCAACCCTCGGCCTCAGCCTGCAGGTCGGACGCGTCTTTGACCGCATTGGTGACGTCGGCCCACCGAGGTTGCAAGTACCGAGCGAAACCAAAAAGAACTCTGCGATCCGGATGACCCACAGCGTTCGCGATAGCCCCTGCGGCTGCGACAGCGAAGTGGCCCCGCGCCGCCGAGAAAAGGCCCCATCCAACTCCAGGGGGAGACTCAGGATCGCCACGCGACTGGACAGCAGCTTCGGCAACGCACCGAGCGCTGGCGTAGGTGGGCGGCTGCACTTGCGGCCCGATGATGATCTGGGTGCCCATCTTTGGCGCCACCGTGTAGACCAGCCGCTTGACGTGCTCAGCATCACCTTTGAGGAGAATATGAACAGGCCGATGGCCTCGCTTAGCCCACTTGACAGCAATGCCGACACTGGCACGCATCCTCATGGCCGCTGAGTTGAGGAGGAAAAATCGATGACAGACTGACCTGCACCTCCTCGAAACGTGACAGAAGACGAGCTCACAATCGAACAACCAACGTGAGCGGGGAACTGGCTCGCCTCCAACTCGCCCGGGCACATGTTCCAATCACCGCCAATGACGACTGGGCCGCCCAGTGCCTCAGCAGCGAGGCCCAACTCTTGCAAAAGCCTGCCGTTGCGGCCAGCGGCGCCCTCACCAGTGTGCAGGTACACGTTGAAAGCATGCAGGCCGACAGGCAGCTCGGGTGTATCTATGAGAACATTCTGAACTCGGTTCGGGACGACCTCATGCACACCGATGGCAGGAGGACGAAGTCCGAGACGATCGCGCACGGCACCAGCAACACCTGCCGACGGCACAGAACCAGAAGTCGGCAGGCTCGGCAACGCCATAAGCCTCCAACCCCGCACACCGCACCATGAAGCCACAGCCTCGACGTGCTCGCTGATGTGCACGAACTCCTGCAGCAGCACCACGCTCGCCATCGTGTTGGCGAGGCGCTTCTTGACGGACGCCTTGCCGCCGCTGGCGTTGTAGGTCTCGATGCTGAACTCAGCGCCGACCGTCGGCCTGGCCCCGCTCGGCGGCGCCCGCCCACGCCCAGGCAGCCCACAAACGTCAGGCCAGGCAGTCGAAGGACCACCCATGCCGCGCTCGCTCGACCGCCAGCTCGGACCACATAGTGTCGAAGGCGGACATGAAGTCATCGACGCTGCCTTCGCTCCGAGCATGATAGAGGGCCCGCTTCTGCACCTCCGTGGGGGCAGGCATAGCCTCATCAGCAGCATCAGCAGCAGGAGGAACAGTCCCAGCGCTGGCGGCACGGGCAGCAGCCTTTCTGGCGACCGCCGACTTGATCTTGACGCATGCCTCAGACTTGAAGAGCGCGACGAGGTCGGGCTGGTCGGCCACGTCCTCAACCAGGTCGATGTCGGCCGCAACGGTGGTGACGTTCTTGGCCGACTCGCTGAACGCCGCACCCAGCGCCGCCACCTCCAACTTCTTCGCTGCGGTGGTCTCCTTGCGCGTCGCGATGCCCTTGGCCAACTCCTCAAGCTGGCGCTCCTTCTCACCCGACTCCTTCTCCAACTTCTCCAGGCCGTTCCGCGCCCGCTGCAAATCCTGCTGCGTGCGCCGATGGAGGGCCTGGGGAGACAGTAGCGCACGCTTCTCCGTGCGCAGCGCCTCCAATTGCTTCTCGATCGGACCCCGAAGATCCTTGTTGCGCTCGTCGGCGGGTGGAAGCTTCGGAAGGCACCCCTCGAGCTCCGTGATCCGCTCGCCGAGCTTGGCACTCTGCGACTTCTTATCAGGGTAAGCGCCGTCTGCGGCCTCGCGCCACGGCGCTGTGCCGCCAGGCTTGGGCCACTCCTTGTCGGGCGGCGCCAAGCGCTTCTCGATGGCCTGCATCCACTCCGCAAGCTGCTTGGGGATGCCCTGCGTCGCCGGGCCTCCTTGCTTGAAGCCCGCCTTCTTGCCGCCGCCTCCGCCAGCATCGGCCTCCTTGTGCTTCTGGCGAGCACGCGAGAGGATGGCAGCAGGCGCGTCGCGGCCGCAGAGGCACTGGATGCGGCACGCCCAGTTCTCCGCGCGCCCGCATTGCCCGCAGCACCAGTGGGGCTTGCGCGGGCCTCGAAGCCGAGGTGGGGCGGACCACCTCGGCGCTCGCCATGGGGCTGACCAGGGGAAGGACTGCACACTGGCCGCGGACTAACGGTATCCACGCGTTCCCCTGTGGAACAAAGCATCTTGAGCCAATATGGCTACGGCTGAGCCGAAGAGGAGAAGGAGGAGGCTGAGAAGAGGCGAGCCGAGCCGCGGCAAGCGCGGTGCGCGAGGAACTTCGCGCCCTCGAGGACGCCTTCGCTGGCCCCTATTGCGCCCCGAGGCTGGAAAACTGCCATGACCCCCCCCCCATCTGGGCGGCCGTTCTGGGTCACCGCTCGGCCTCCTGGCGGCCGTTCGGGATGATCCGGGCACCCTCGGAACGCCCCCGGCGAGGCGCAGCTGCCAGAACGCGCCCCAGAGGGCGCCCTTGCTGGCCCCGAGGAGGCGACCCCCAGCTGAGCCGCGGGGGCCGAGGAGGAAGAGGAGGAGGAGGAGGAGGAGGTGGAGGAGGATGAGGAGGGGGGAGGGGAGGAGGAGGCGGAAGGAGGAGGAGGGAGGAGGGGGTCCCGGCACAGCTCGGGCACGCCCCCCGCGCAACAGCCGAACGGGGCGCGCGCCGCCCGCGACGCCCCGCGCCGCCGCGCGGCTCGCGAGGGAGCCGCACCCTCGGCGGGCCGGCCCCGCTGCGGAGCGCCGTCGGGGCGGGTGTCCTCCTCCTCCTCCTCCTCCTCCTCCCTCCTCCTTCCTCCTCCTCCTCCTCCTCCTGCCTCCTCCTCCTCCTCCTCATCGTCCTCGTCCTCGTCCTTCCTCCTCCTCCTCCTCCTCCTCCTCCTCCTCGTCCTCTCCTCGTCCTCGGCCGCCTGCGTCCTGCTCCCTCCCTCGTCTCCTCCTCCTCTCCTCCTCTCCTCCTCCTCTCCCTCCTCCTCATCATCCTCATCATCATCATCATCATCATCATCATCATCATCATCATCATCATCATCATCATCATCATCATCTCATCATCATCAAATCATATTCAATCATCATCTCATCATCATCATCATCAGCATCAGCTCAGCTCAGCATCATCATCATCATACATCATCAGCATCAGCATCATCATCACATCATCATCCATCATCATCATCATCATCATCATCAATCATCATCATCATCATCATCATAATCCTCATCATCATCATCATCATCCATATCATCATCATCATCATCATCATCATCTTCTTCTCCTCATCGTCCTCCTCCTGTCCACCCCCGCCCGTCCTCGTCCCCCCCTCTTGCTCCTACTCCTCTCCTCCTCCTCGTCTTCCTTCTCCTCATCCTCCTCCTCCTCCTCGTCTTCCTCCTCCTCCTCCTCCTCCTCCTCCTCCTCCTCCTCCTCCTCGTCCTCCTCCTCCTCCCCTGGGCGCCTGGGAGGCCAGGGGCTCCCAGGCGTGCGCGCCCAGCCGCGCACGCGTCCAGCAATCGGTCAGACAGCGGACGAAAGAGCGCCCACAGGCAGAAGCAGCGGCGCTCCGCGCGGACCTCGGGGGTCCGCGCGACAGCCCCCCTCGCGAAGGCGCGCGGAGCGCGCCGAAGGGGCGCCGCCGAAGGCGCCGCCAGGGGGGGGGCCAGCGCGGGGGCGCAGGCGGGGCCGCGCACGCAGACGCGCCGCCCCCCACGCCGCGGGGCCGCACGCCACGCCGCGCGAGCGCCACGCCGCGCGTGCGCCACGAGAGCGCCCCCGCGCGCGCGCCTTCGCCCCGCTCCTGCAGGGAGGGCGCCGCGGCGGCGCGCAGAGGTAAAACGACGGGAAGATCGGGACAGAATCGGATCGGGATAACTCGAAATCTCTGATGATCGGCAGGTTTGGAGGATGTATTGGGCGCCGCGGGCGCTCCAGAGCGTTCCGGAACGCTCTGAGAACGCTCCGGAACGCTCTGGAGCGATTTATCCCGATCCTAGCCTTGTTTTAGGAGGGGGGTGACTAAGGGGACGGGGGGAAGGCGTCGCAGAGGGGAGCTGAATTCCTGGAAGGCCCCCGACCTGCATCTGCAGACCAGGCCCGCGCCTCCTGAGAGACCCGGGTGCTCCCAAGACCCCCTCCCCCCTCCCCCTGCCCCCCTCTGCGCGTGGCCGATCCGTCCCGCTGCCGAGGGAGGGCGCCGCGGCGGCGCCCCCGCGCCGGCCACCCCCGCGAGAGGGCGCCCCCTGCGCATCGCTGAGGCGGCGGCGGCTCTGGAGGCGGCGGCGGCAGCCTTGGGGCGCCCCCGCCCCCCTGCCGCAGTCGCCCGGCGCCCCCCCGGAGCCCCAGGAGGGAGCGGAAGGCGCCAAGAAGCCTGGAGCCTCCATCGACGGATCCGTCCTCGACGCTCGCCCTCGAGGGCGGCGACGACCCTGACGACGACGGCCGCCCCCCAAGGCGCCCCGTCATCTTGCCGCGGGCGCCCGGTGCACCTCGGGGTGACGGGCGGTTCGACGCCCCCGTCGGCACCCACGTCGTCCCTGCTCTCGCCTCATGCCGCCTCCGTCGTTGCCGTCATCGCTTTTCCTCATCGTTTCCGCTGTCGTCGTCGTCGTCGTCGTCGTCGGTTCCGTGCTTGCCGTCGAGGTCGTCGTGGAAACCTCATCGCTTCCGTCGTCATGCCCGGCTCCGTCCCCGCCGTCGCTGTCGGTGTTCGTCGTCGCTTCCGTTGTCGTCATCGTCGGTTTCGACGTCGCCATCGTCTCTAGATTTGTCAAAGCACACACACACACTAAGATTAAGTCGGGCCTGTCCCCAAACAGGGGGATCTTGGACGACATAATTAAAAATTCCCCAGAAAATACCCCCGAAATGCTCGACATTATCAAACATTAGTCCACAGAATATGCTTTGACTAGTTTTGGATATCCCCCCTGTAGAGAGACATGTCCGACTTAACACTAAGAGCAATATGTAAACAATCCATGCCCATCAGGAGCGAGCACCACGGCAAGCGGGCGAGAAAGTGCCAGACCAATCCCAATACCTATATATATAATAGTAATAAAAAATAATAATAATAATATAATAATATAATAATAATAGTAATAATAATAATATTAATAATAATAAAAAATAATAATAACGATAATAATAATAATTATAATAATAATAATGATAATAATAATAATGATAATAATAATAATGATGATGATAATAATAATAATAATAAATATTAATAATGATAACACTAATATATATATATATATATAATAAAAAGGAGAGAGCGTGATCCACCGACGCTTTACTGTGGAAAATTGCCAACCTTTTCCTCCGGAGCCCGGGGGTCGCCCCCCCCCCTTCCGAAAATCTCCCCCCTGCTGGACCCCCCCCCGTCCCCCGGCAACCCCCCCCCCCGCCCTAACCCCTCCCCCCCATCCCCCCTCCTCCTCGAAAACCGGGGGGGGTCACTACCGGTTCGAACCCCTCCCCCCCCCCTCCGGATCCGGAAAACCAGGGGTGGTCACTACCGGGTTCGAACCCCAACCAAACCAACACCAACAAAAAAGAAAAACCACAAAAAAAAAAAAATAACAAGAAAACAGGAGGGGGATCACTACCAAGCCGGTTCGAACCCCAACACAATCAACCCCACCCCCCACTCACCGCCAGCAAACGACTCCCGGTCCCTACCACCGTCCGCATCACATCCTCCACGTTGTTCCCAGCACCACTGTCCTCACCACCACTGTCACTGTCCCCACTGTGTCCCCACCAGTGCCCCCACCACTGTTGCACTGTCCCCACTGTCCCCACCACTGTTCCCACCACGGTTCCGCTCTCCCCACTGTCTCCACGGCCCCAACCACTGCCCGACTATCCCCACTGTCCCCACTGTCCCACTGACTCCGCCGCTGTCCCACTGAGTTGTCCCACTGTTCCCACCACTGTCCCCACTGTCCCCACCACTGTCCCCACTGTACCTCTGTCCCATTGTCCCACCGCCGTCCTCGCCACCGCCTTCACCACTGTCCCCACCACCATTATACCCTCCACTGTCCCACTGTTTTCACCTCATTCCCACTGTGCCCACACCACTGTCCCCACCACCACCGTCCCCACCACTGTCCACTGTCCCCCCTGTTCCCACCATTGTCCCCACCACTGTCCTCACCACTACCGGCCCTCTACTGTCCCACTGTCCCACTGTCCCCACCACTGTCCCGCTGTCCCCTCACCACTGTCCCACCAACACCGTCCCCACCTCTGTCCGCACCCCCACTCGGTTTTCGAGGGGGGGGGGGGGGGTCGAACCGGTAGTGACACCCCCCCTTTTCATGATGAGCTGGGGGGGGGGGAGGGGGGAGGGGTTCGAACCGGTAGTGACCCCCCCGGTTTTCTGGAGGGGGGGGGGGAGGGGTTCGAACCGGTAGTGATCCCCCCGGTCTTCCGCCAGCAGCGGTAGAACACGCTCTTTCAAATATATATATATATATATATACATATAGTCCAACAGATGGGCTGCTTCTTCACCTACATCGGCACTCGCCGACAGTTGCGAATATTCCTACGAGTACGAGCTTTACAACAGTATAGTCCAACAGACGGGCTGTTTCTTCACCTATATCGGCACTCGCCAACAGTCGCGAATATGCATCCGAGCACGAGCTTTACAGCAGTAGCCTGCTCGGGACGCCCGTGCCAAGTGTGAACACGACGTGCGGCTGCCATTCGAGGACAGCGACGACGTACAAATGATGCACGGACCAGTTCATGTAAGACGGTGGCTCCTGCTTTCGGGGATGGACAGACCCCCCTTTAGTAAAACGTTGTTCAGTGAAAACGACCTGAGGCCCAAACCTGGCGGGCGCAGGCCTGGAAAATGACAGCCACGGCGCCCCCTCGAGAACCGCAAACGGACAATTCACTCATCGACGTGTCACTGTTGGGGTTTTTTGTCCCCCCCCCCCGATGTCTCCTGCAGCCGACAAGATCCATCAACTGTTGGAACGGCGCAGGAGGGCATCGCAAAGGAGACGCACGACTGGCATGTGCAAGCCCGAACTCCACCGGTTCCTCACGGGGCAGCCTCTGGTCGGAGAGCGAAGGGCAGGGAGAACGGCACGGGGTGTACACGTAGAACCCTTTTCTGGGCATCGCTCGGACGTCCACTCCCTGTGCTTTGTTTCGGTTTCGTGCGCGGTGTGTGTTGTGCCAAATGATCGAGGATGGTCCTCGATGGTCCTCGCCAAAAGAAAACTGCACACGTCTGAGCGATGCCAGGCATATGCATGTATATGTACACGCCATTGCGTAATAGTGGCCGACTTGTTGGCGACGTAGCCCGTGTCCCCTCTGGATGGGGCCCAGCATGGCGCGCCATGACGATTTGCCGCGAGCAAAGACACGAGGCAAAGCTTCTGATCTGCTATGGTTTTCCCTCCATGGATGCCTTCTTGCAAGGGCTCCCAACTTCGCGCTCTCGCGCTGAGCGAAGCGCGAAGTGCGAACAACTTCGCGCTCTCGCGCTGCCTCCCAGGGGAGAAGAGGAGGATGAGGAATCGGAGCCCAACCGCGAAGCGCGAAGCGCAAATTAACTTCGCGCCCTCGAGGGCGCCCCTGTTTTGCAGAACCCGCCCGCCTGACGCGATCCGCTAGCAGGCAGCCAGGCGGTGCGCGGAACCGATCGAGCCTTCCTGGCGCACGAGATCCGACGCTGCTGAGGTTACCAGCCTGGATGAGGAGGAGGAGGAATGCGAAGAGGAGGAGGAGGAGGGAGGAGGAGGAGGAAGAGGAGGAGGAAGAGGAGAAGGATGGAAGAGGGTTGAATGGTTTACGCCCGCTGTCATTTTGCAGGGGGGCCCCTTTTCACCCCGAAGCCCCCAACCCCTGTGTCTGGCATCGCCTCATCAAGATGGCGATCTTAGGGATTCCCTCAGTTTCTGAGGGTGCATCCCTAAGATTGGCATCGCCTTTTGGCGTGTCAATCTCAGGGATAGGGATAAGTTCGAGGCTGGCAATGAGGGGCCATTCGGCACTCGGCGTTGGCTGCCGCAGGGCGCCGACCTGCAACGGCGCGGGGCCACCCGTGCAGTGCCTGCTGGAACACACGGAGAGGCTCGCGACGCACCACGTGGACGGGGCCCTTGGACACACAGATAATAAGACACAAGTAACAAGATTCCCCGTGTTTTCTCATATGTTTTCTTGGTTTCTGTCTTCCCCCCCAATTCCCAATCACCTCCCATGTCTTCTGGGGAATCCACGATGAATTGTGTCTGCGTGTCTGTCCCTCCTGACACGTGGACTGGACATCTGCGCGGCACGCTGCCTATGAAATGCTTCAGGACGGAGCCACTTACGGCCAGACCTGGAACAGACGAGCATCCTCCAAGGACATGCGATCCTCCGCCGGCCAACCTTGACGAGCATTCGAGGGTGCCTTCACCCCGGACGAACAAGAACATCCAACGAGCACGAAGAACATCAGGGCGCCCTCCCCGAACCAACCTCGATCTTATACCTCGGTCCGACAATACACGCGCAGGCGGTGACGGAGGCATCAATCGGCGGGCCCTCCCGCCAATCCAATCATGCCTCGCAGCCCCCGCCCCACGACGTGCTCTGCATGTTCGAGGGTCCTGGTCTGACCCGTCGCGCCGCTGTCCGCATCGCCTCCGCGCCCAGTCCATGCCGCAGGTCGCCGAGGCGTCGAATCCGCGTCGAATGCGGGCCGGGTCAGCGTCGAAAACATGCGTCGGCCACGCTACCCGATTGAAGGGGCCCCAGGACACACAAATACATACACACAAGTGAAGCAACTCCCAATGTTTTCCTACATTTTGGGGGTTTTCGTTTGCCCCCCCACTTCCAATATTTTCCCATACTTCCTGCGGAATCGACGATTCATTGTGTCTGTGTGTTTTTTCCCACCTGACCGATGCCCGATCCTCGCGTTGACGCTGGACGGGGCCAGACGGCCGAAGGGAGCGCCAGGCCCTGGCCTCTTGCATTACGTCGGGCGCGTCCCCCTACAAGGGAATGTTCGACGATTGTTTGTATATATATATATATATATATATATATATATAATGCCAAAAAATACTCCCAAAAAAATCCCTGGACAATGTTTGTGTATTTTTGGATTATTTTTGGGGCACTCCGTATTTGTCGTT